TCTATCCTTTTCTCAACAATGGGACATCATTAACAGTCCTCCAGTCCTCTGGCACCCATGGCCAGCGAGGATTTGAAACTTACTGCTAAAGCTCCTGATATCTTCTCCTTTGCCTTCCTCAACATCCAGAGGATACACCTAATTCAGTCCCAAAGATTTATCCATTTTTTTTAAGGCTGCTAAACTCAGTAGTACAATCTTGCTCTATGTTAATTTCGTCAACAATTTCACAGTCATCCACCTGGATGTCTATACCTGTGTTTGCCTTTTCATTGTGAAGACCAATGCAATGTATTCGTTGAAGACTGTCCACACACAGATTAGCTTCATGCTCCCTAATGGGCTCTACTCTTTCCCTAATTATTCTCTTGCCAAGCATTTCCAGTCTCGCAACTTAATGCCTCATCCCAAGTACCATTCAAGTACATTTTTTCTGCACCTTTTCCCAGACCTTGGCGCAGCTTCTGAAATATGAATATTGCAGGCTGTTCGAAACATTAACAATTGTTACCTCAGAGGACATTTCTGTCTGCAGAGGGAGAAACTCCGTTAAAGTTTCAAAGCTAAGTGCGCTCATCAGAACTCACTCTCCCTCCCCCTCTCTCCCTCCCACCCTCCTGCTCCCTGTGTCCCTCTCTCTCTCTCTCCCCCTCTCTCTCTCTCTGTTGCCCACCACAGATATTGGCTGAGCTGCCGAGTTTCCCCAGCTTTCTTCATTCTGATTTCACAGGTCCAGCATCCCCACAGTATTTTGCTTTTGATAGTTTATCTTAGTCAGAAACTACTTTTATCAGTGGATGTTAGCTTTCAGTTGATAACTAGTCAATGATTAATATACATTCTTCTCCCGACTCCCATTTCCTGTTGCCTGTGTTTCTGTTTAAATGGGTGTGTTCGAATGTTGTGTGGAAACTTGTATTTGCCTGCCCAGTTTCCCTGGTTGTCAAACTCCCCCGCAGTCAGTAATAATCATCATTGTGTTCAGACTAGTGCAACACTTGCCCCTTTCATCAGGCATCAAATCAAAAGAACCTATGCCTCCAATAGTCCCAGCCAGTCAAGCAGCCTTTTTACTGTTTGTCCATATTATTGTAATTAATCATTAACCTGTTCCAAGTGTCTTTCCCTTTTCATCCCTGAAATTGCTGACTTACACTGGCTCCATGTGAAGCAAACTGTTGATTTTAAAATGCTCAGCCTTGTTTTCAAATCATTCCCTGACCTTGTTCCTAATTAGATCTGTAATCTCGTCCGGGGCCCCAAGCTCTCCAAGATTTCAAAGAGAACAATGTATAAAAGACATTTCAATTGTCCTGTGGGATTTTTTTAAAAAACTTTTTAATTAGTTGCTTCCAGGAAATTAATCTTAAATTCCTAAAACTGCAGGGATGTTTTAAAGGTTTTGTGTCCAATTTAGTAGGGGTATCAAGGGGTATGGCTGTGCTAATGGGCCATGTTCCATAGATTAGTGCTGTCGTCATTTTGAAAGAGAGCACATTGACCCTTGATTTGTGACTGAAGCCTGATTAATTAAAGTGACTAAAGTCGCCATAGTCCCAAGGGGCTGCTGCATCATTAGAGAAAGATGACTGGTGACGGTTTAACCTGAGGATCACCGTGCTTCAGGCAAGGTTGAGAAAATCGGATGCTGGTAACATCAGCCCTTGTGGAAATTGAATCCACACTGTTGGCATCGCTTTGCCTGACAAACTAGCTGTCCAGTTAACTGATCTAACCAATCTAGTCCATTGCCATTGCACCATTGTTTTTAAGACGTGTCTCCTACCCTTGTCATAAGGCCCTTCACCCTTAGTCGTTTTTGTCTGAGCCAAGTTGCTGGTGTTTTTTGTGACCTTCTGAAGGCCTTAATTTAAATCACAATCAGTTGATGGATATCATATGTCTTTGCAAGCGTATTCTTAGTTAGCACTGGTCAGCTGCTGCCTTTTTAACAAGTCACCAAAGAAACATGTCTTGCACAGATGAATTACAAACAAAAATAGGCCAATTAGCTCCTTGGATTTACTCTATCACTTAATAGGACCAAGGTTCATCTGCCTATGTTCCAAAATCCACATTCCCATGCCCTCATTTGCATCTAATTCCCATGCCTAACAAGTATCTATCTAACTCTGTCCTAAAAATAGTCAATGTCCATGCATTCCCTGCCTTATGAGGCAGAGAATTCCACAACACTTGCAGAGAACAACAAAGTTCACTTATCTACATCCAAAAAGGTCGATGCCTAATTTTAAAACCACGTCCCATAGTCCGGACTGATCCACAAAACGAAATATTCCTTTTTACATTCGTCTTGCCAAGATCATTCAGGACCTTATACACATCAATCCAATCACTCCTTGTTCTTGAAAATTCCAGTAAAAACAAGCCCAGTTCATTCAATCCTTCCTCATGAGACAATCCGCTCATTCTGGGTATCAATCCAGTAAACCTTCTCTTCACTGTCTTCAGTTGCAGCCTTCCTTAAATGAAGAGAACCATGGGAGAATGTGAGATGGCCCCCAACAACTCATCTTCACTATAGACGTCCAATCCCTATACACTTGCATTCCCCACACAGATGGCCTAAAGGCCCTCCGCTTCTTCCTCTCCCGCAGGCCCGACCAGTCCCCCTCTACCGACACCTTTATCCACTTAACTGAACTCGTCCTTACCCTTAACAACTTTTCCTTCAACTCCTCACACTTCCTTCAGACTAAGGGGGTGGCCATGGGAACCCACATGGGCCCAAGCTATGTCCCCCTCTTCGGATACGTGGAACAGTCCCACTTCCGCAGCTACACTGGCACTATCCCCCACCTCTTCCTCCACTACATTGATGACTGTATTGGTGCCACCTTGTACTCCCACGAGGAGCTTGAATAGTTCATCAACTTTACTAAAGCCTTTCACCCCAACCTCAAGTTCACCTGGACCATCTCTGATACCTCTCTCTCCTTCCTGGACCCCTCTGTCTCCATCTCTGGTGACCATCTCGAAACTGATAGCTATTTCAAGCCCACCGACTCTCACAGCTGCCTAGACTACACATCCTCTCACCCACCTTCCTGCAAGATTGCTATTCCCTATTCCCAATTCCTCCGCCTCTGCCACATCTGCTCCCGAGACGAGACGTTCTACTCCCGGACATCCAAGATGTCGACCGCAACTTCTCCCCCTTCAGTGGTCAAAAACTCCCTCGACTGCATCTCTTGTATTTCCTGCACCTCTGCCGTCACATCACCTCCGTGCAATAAAAACAAAGACAGAATCACCCTTGTCCTCACGTATCACCCCGCTAACCTCCGGATTCAACACATCATTCTCCACTACTTCCGCCACCTGCAATCTGACCCCACAACGAAGGATATAGTTCCCTCCCCACCCCTATCTGCCTTCCGTAGGGACCGCTCTCTCCGCGACTCCCTCGTCTGCTCCACACTACCCACTAGCCTCACCGTCCCCACCACCCCCGGCACCTTTCCCTGCAACCACAGGAAGTGCTACACCTACCACTACACCATCCCCCTCACCTCCATTCCAGGACCCAAAGAAACCTTACACATCAGACAGATATTCACCTGCACATCTGCTAATGTGGTCTACTGCATCCGCTGCTCCCCATGTGGCCTCCTCTATATCGGTGAGACCAAGCGGAGGCTCGGAGACTGCTTTGTAGAGCACCTGCGCTCGGTTCGGGACAAATGACAATACCTTCCAGTCGCGAACCACTTCAACTCCCACTCCCACTCCCTGGATGACATGTCCATCCTGGGCCTCCTCCAGTGTCACAACAATGCCACCCAGAAACTGGAGGAGCAGCACCTCATATTCCGCCTTGGGAGCCTACAACCCAATGGTCTCAATGTGGTCTTTACTAGCTTCAAAATCTCCCGACCCCCGGCCTCATCCCATGACCAACCCTCCCTCTCATCCCCGCCTCCTTGACCTGTCTGTCTTCTCTCCCGCCTATCCGCTCCTCCCACCTCACTGACCAATCCCCACCACTGCCTACCTGCACTCACCTAGCCCCACCCCTCCTCTATTTATTTCAGAGCCCCCATTCCCCTCCCCCATTTCTGAAAAAGGGTCCCGACCTGAAACGTCAACTTTCCTGCTCATCTGATGCTGCCTGGCCTGCCGTGTTCCTCCAGCTCCACACTGTCATCTCTAACTCCAGCATCAGCAGTTCTTGCTATCTCTGCGTTCTCACTGATGCTTTCTACAGATACGGATTCAGCCCACGAAGTAAAGCAGACTGCCGACTGGCCATGAGCCCAATTTACCCAACTGGTGAAGACAGGATTTCATCCACCTGTAGCTGTAACACTATATTCTGCGTTCTGTTCTAGTACTTTCATAGATTTCATTTCGTAGAATCCCTACATTGTGGAAACAGGCCCTTCGGCCCAACAAGTCCACACTGACCCTTGGAGAATCCCACCCAGACCCATCCCCCTATAACCCACCTAATCTACATATCCCTGAATGCTATGGGCAATTTAGCATGGCCAATCCACGTAGCCTGCACATCTTGGGATTGTGGGAGGAAACCGGAGCACCCGGAGGAAATCCACGCGACACGGGGTCAATGTGCAAACTCCACACAGACAGTCAGCCGAGGGTGGAATCGAACCCGGGTTCCTGGTGCTGTGAGGCTGCAGTGCTAACCACTGAGCCTTACTCTCAGGTACTTATAAAATATGATCTGTCCGGATAGCATGCAAAACAATAACTTTCACTGTATCGCAGTACGTGACCATAATAAATCAAATTAAATCTTAGCTAGAAATAGAAACTGCTGGGAAACTTGCTTCAGTTAGCATCAGAGAAGAAAGAAAGCAAGTTTGATGTCTGGTGTTGCCAACCTTTTGATCATGAATGTTTCACTGGAATAGGCAGGTAGCAGGGGTTGAGGACAAGCCTAAACAAGTAACAGCTGTTCGTCCAGATAGAAGACAGATTTAATGTATTTAAAGTGATACTTTTCTTCTCCTCAGAATTGTTTCCGAAAGGCTGCACAGCTTTCAAAGCAATCACTCCTAACATTGAGGAAGAAGCAGCAATGAAAGAGGACGCTGGAATGCAGGATGTCCACTATACTGAGGTAAGACTTCTACATTGATTTGCTATTTGATCTGTTCCTAGCAGTATCTCCCCCAGAGTGCAGCACTGGTGTGGAAACAACAATTTGGTAGACTTTGAATAGCTCATCTTGACAAACATGAACCTTGTCAGTTTCAGCACCCTCACCTCTGAGTCTCAAGTCTCAGATTTAAATCACACTCCACAGATAGAGCCATAGAGATGTACAGCATGGAAACAGACCCTTCAGTCCAACTCATCCATGTCAATAAGATATCCTAAATAAGTCTAGTCACATTTGCCAGCATTTGGTCCATATCCCTATAAACCCTTCCTATCACATCCCCATCCAGATGCCTTTTAAATGGAATTATACCAGCCTCCACCACTTCCACTGGCAGCTCATTCCATACATGCACCACCCTCTACGTGAAAACCTTGCCCCTTAAATCCCTTTTAAATATTTCCCGTCTCACCTTAAACAATGCCCTCTAGTTTTGAACTCCCGCACCTCTCAGAAAAGACCTTGTCTATTTACCCTATCCATTCCCCTTATGATTTTATAAACTTCTATAAGGTCACTCCCCACGCTCCAGGGAAAATGGCCCCAGTCTATTCAGATGAGAGAACACAATCTAATGGTTTGCTTAATAAAAGCAGAAAATGCTGGAGATATTCATCAGGTCTAGTGCCATTTGTGGAGAGAGCAGTAGAGTTAACATTTCGAGTCTAAAATGACTTCTTCTTCAGTAGTTCAAGCAAGTAATAATGGAGAGCTGCAGCCTGTCTGATTCACCACATTTTGGTGTGGTCAAACACCTGTTCACTATTCAGTTGGACAATAAAAATCCTAAATCTCAGCTGGAAGGGGAAAACAGAGAGTTTCCCAGTGTCCTGTCCAAGATTTCCCCCCAGATTCGAGCCATCAAAATGGTTAACCGATCATTAATTTCCATTCCTCTTCACGGGATCTTCCTGTGTACAAATTGTTGCTTTTTGCCTACTTGGCAGTAACTGCGTGCTTGGTGGAAGCTAGAGAAGGGTGACAGGCTGCCTGTGAATGGTCGAAACAAGATGAAGTCAAATGGCCATCCCACATAAAGTTATCTTAAGATCTGATATAAATTAACTTTCCGTGTCAATTTTTCTCCTGTGTTACGAGCACAGGTCTTAAGGATATAAAGCAGCTTCTAATTTACTTTTGTTTGTGGAAAGACCATTGCATTTCTTGAAAGCTGTTCAGTGAAAAATGCCTGAAAGGAAGTCTTGTATTTCGTATTTATCTGGTTCTTTACTGCCATTCTAAGTTATCTTGATCCTAAACCTGATGATGAAGTATGAAACTGAATACTTTTCTTGATATTCAGTTTATGTCTGAAATGCAGCATTACACATGCCTGCTTCTGACCATAACACGCTGATGCAGTTGTCTCTCCAAAAGTGCTTAAACAATGCACATTTACTTTGTAGCATAATTAACACAACAGTAAGACATTCGTCTGTCTCAGTTCTTTACATTCAGTGAATTATTCTCATGTGTGGTGACTGTTGTGCAGTGATGATTGAGGGATATTTATTCAAACTAACTTGGCTTTAAGAAGTGTCGCCCTTCATTGAAACAGTAGAGTAGGCAGTTAGGTCCCTGGTTCAAGGGAGGTGAATGATTATTATATGCTTAATCACCGGAGTAGTAAGGCAGTGAGTGTTAACAAATGAAGAATTCCGAGTTTTCCAGTTTTAGTAAAATATTTTACTCAAACTAAAACTCTATTTTCTTTCTCGCCTTAACAACTGTCTACACGTGCCATGAGCCAGTCAGCGATGGATGTCTGCAATCCTCTAGGGCAAAACCCAAGGAACCATGTTCCAAGGAGGTGCATAGATAACAATTGCAGTCTCCCCCGAAGCATGTAGGTGATGCGAGTTGATCCTGACCTGACTGCTGATGTACTTTGTAAAATAGAAACAATATTGAAATTCACTGTATTCAACAATTTAACAATTGCCAATTTAACAAGATCAATTATCTCACACGATGATTATTTTAGTATGGGTTCTTCTGATCTTCATGCAAGCTCAATTCAGACTCCTTGGTTACCTATAAAAGACATTTATTAACAATAAATGCATGATGGTAAGGTTACAGAGCAGAATGCTCTGAGATCTGCAAGTTCCAACCTTCCAGCAGAGTCCTACACATTACTGCTGAGATTATAGTTACATCACAACGTACATTGGAGGTCAATCTATATATTTATTAAGCACTAACTTTACATTAATGTGTCCTTCAGACAATTAGACAGAGGAGCAGAAGTAGGCCATTCAGCCCATTGAGTCAGCTCTGCCATTCAATCAGTCATGACTGATCTGATAATCTTCAAGTCCACTTTTAGAAATCGGTCTATTTCAGCATTGAATATACTAAATGACCCAGCCTCAACAGACCTCAGTGGTATTCCACAGATCACTACCCTCTAAGAGAGGAGATTCGTCCTCAACTGCCTTAGAAGCATAGGCAGCTTTGCTGTGGGTCTGGAGTCACATTAAGTGAGACCAGGTAAGGATGGCAGATTTCCTTCCCTGAAGCACATTACTGAACCAGATGGCCTGGCCTGCTGTATTCATCCAGCTCCACACCCTGTTATCTCAGACTCCAGAACGCCCTCGACCGCATCTCTTGTGTTTCCCGCACCTCAGCCGTCACACCCCCTCCCCGCAATAAAAACAAAGACATATTTTCCCTTGTCCTCACATATCACCCCATTAACCTTCGGATTCAACGCATCATTCTCCGCCACTTCTGCCATCTGAAATCTGACCCCACTATCAAGGATTTATTTCCTCCCCACCCTTATCTGCATTCCGGAGGGACCGCGCTCTCTGCGACTCCCTCATTCGCTCCACACTCTTCACTAGTCCCACCATCCCTGCCACCTTTTCCTGCAACCGCAGGAGGTGCTACACCTGTCCCTACACCACCCCCCTCACCTCCATCCCAGGCCCCAAGAAAACCTTCCACATTAAACAGATGTTCGCCTGTATATCCGCTTATGTGGTCTATTGTGTCCGCTGTTCCCGATGTGGCCTCCTCTACATCGGGAGACCAAACGGAGGCTCGGAGACCGCTTTGTGGAGCACCTACGCTCGGTTCGTGACAAACAACAACACCTCCCAGTCGCGAACCACTTCAACTCCCCCTCCCACTCCCTGGGCGACATGTCCATCCTGGGCCTCCTCCAGTGTCACAACGATGCCAGCCAAAAACTGGAGGAACAGCACCTCATATTCCACCTTGGAACCCTACAACCCAATGGTCTCAATGTGGACTTTACGAGCTTCAAAATCTCCCCACCTCCCCCTCATCCCCTCATCCCCGCCTCCTTGACCTGTCCGTCTTCTCTCCCACCTATCCGCTCCTCCCACCTCACAGACCAACCCCCACCCCCACTTCCTACCTACACTCACCTACTAGGTTCATCCCTGCCTCCTTGACCTGTCCGTCTTCTTTCCACCTATCTGCTCCGCTATCCACCTATCACCACCACCCCCTCTCTCTATTTATTTCAGAACCCCCTTCCCCTCCCCCATTTCTGAAGAAGGGTCCAGACCCAAAATGTCAGCTTTCCTGCTCCTCTGATGCTGCCTGGCCTGCAGTGTTCATCCAGCTCCACACCTTGTTATCTTAGGCTCCAGCATCGGCAGTTCCTATCATCGCTGAACCAGATGAGTTTTTACATTCATGAATGATAATTGCCATTACAACCTTTTAAATTGTTGGTTTGTTGATTATAAATTTTAAGAGCAGTGGGGGATTTGAACTTGTGTCAGTTCTGAGGAAGGGTCGCTCAACCCAAAATGTTAACTCTGATTTCTCGTCGCAGATGTTACCGGACCTGCTGAGCTTTTCAAACAATTTCTGTTTTTGTCCCTGTATCATTGCCCCACAATTCTGGGATTGTTAGTCCCGTGTCAACACGATCTCCACACAGTTCAGCTCTGAGAATCAGTTTTATCATTCAATTAGATCACGCATGATACACATTTACAAGAATTAGGAGACAGTATTGAGCAATGTGTTTAAATTGTTCTGATCTTTTATAAGCATTGGTCTATACTAATAACAACAATACAGAGTGTGGCAAAGGACTCCAGAAAACATCTTGACTACAATGTGTGTTTAGTTTTAGAAAATGCAATTTAAAGCTGTCCATTTTTAGCAGAGCAGATTGATTTTAATTTGAGCTCAGGGAGCTATGTTGAAACTTGCAGCTCAGTTCACCTGTTGCCAAATAACAGTCAGGGTTAGCTTATTTATGTGAAGTCACTGTCCATACAGTGGTTCCTCTGTTGCTGTGCAATGGAAAATTGAGCAATAGATCTCAGTGCCACAAAAAATAAGGGAAGAACAGTAGAAATGAAAGTGCAACAGCTGGAGCAGTGCAGAGCTGGATAAACGTAAGGTAAGTACTTGTGTTTGTGCAGCACCTTACCAGTCACAGGAATTTGCAAAGCAAGTTTTGGCAAGTGCAATACTTTTGCAATGTGGTCGTTGTTATAAAATGGGAAAATGCATCAAGGGATTTGTGCACAGCAAGCTCCCAGAATAAGCATGTAATGTGTTTGTATTCACCTGAAAGGGCAGAAGAGGTCTCGTTTTAAAGTTTCATCCAAACAATGGGCTGTTCCACCAGTATGGCACTCCCTGAAATGTCCACTCAGGTGTCAGCCTGGATTATATATTGAGGCCTCTGGAGTGGAGGTTGAGCCCACAAATTTTCAGATTCAGAGGTAAGAGTCCTGACATCTGTAGTCATGGCAGATATGTCGCAGTGTTGATTCATTCTGTAACTCAACACTTTGGCAACACCTTTTCAAATTCTCATCTATTACCATCTAAAAAGGACAAGTTCCCTTCCCTGTCATCTACTGTCTTGACTTGGAAATGTATCCCCATGTGGATTGCAGTACTTCAAGAAGACAGATCACCACCACTTTCTCGAGGACAATTGGGGCTGGTTAAAA